TTTAGGTCACATGGATCTCTGAAGTTTTCGGATTGAGCATCTGAACACTTTAGGTCCAGCTGCTGAGGTTTGGATCACACATCTGAAACTTCAGTTCTTACATCTGAAGTACTTCGGTTTTCACATCCGAAAAACTTCAGTTCTCACATCCGAAAAACTTCGGTTCTCATACCTGAAGTACTTCAGATGTGTGATCCGAACCTCGAGAGCTAGACCTAAAGTGTTTCGATGCTCACTCCGAAAACTTTAGAGATCCATATGACCTAAACTTCGGGTCCCACGCACGAGGTTTTTTTCTCCGCGTATGAATGTCGCTTTCTTTCGGAAAGTCCAATGCGACACTTCTCGCTAAATCGGTGTGTGATACGAATTCGGCAACCTTCCTTCGGACGAAAACAGACGCCGCGACGAGGCCCGGGGAAAAAAGGAGGGGCGCGCGACTTTGACGTGAAACCACAGTCGCGGTCCAAAAAATTCGCTCATTAAGGAGGCAGCAGTGCGCGGCGCGGGCATACCTTCGGCGCACGGTTCGAATTGATCAATTTAATTGGCCGCCCCTTCGAGTAGGTGGTCTCGGCGACGAAAACCCAATTTTGCGACTCCGCTCCGAGTCGCTTCCGACGCGTTTACTTGGGCATCGCGCGACCGAAATAGTTCTATTCTCCGATTCCGCATGCACTTTCACTCTCTCTCTCTGGGAGACTTCCGTCAAGCTTCATCGGATAAAATAAGCGTTGGAGAAGGGCCGGATTTAAGGGGTGGCCACATGGGCCGCGGCCCATGGCGGCAAATTTTGCAATTTGTTTAAATGTATATCTATAGGAATATTAAAAAAAAATTGGTCAGAAAAAAAATTACAAACGAGAAAAGGCGATAAAATCTCTCATTTCCTGAGAGTTTAGTTTTTTTTCTAATTTTATCGTAATTCGGTGATACAAGAGACAGCACCTTTAATTAGTCGAGTGAAGAGAGAAACGAAACACGCAATTTGGCCTGGAACGGCGCGGCGCAGAGAGCAACGATGACGAGGACTTGAGATGAAAAGGAGAAACCCTTAGCGCGGCGGTCGGCATGTAACACATATTAGCGCCTACAAGACTGCATGAAAACTTCACGCATTGCGCCAAACACAGTGCGGTCAGCAGCGGTCGGCGTGAAACGCATAGCGCCTACAAGACTGCATGAAAACTTCACGCACAGCGCCAAACACAGCGCGCATGCGGTCAGCTCGGCGCGGCGGCGGCGGCGGCTTAATTAAAATTATTAAACCACTGTATTATTCAATACTGTATTCATATACTTTACCTTTGGCTCTCAGACTATCAATGCGATCCACTCAAAGTGGTCCGCCAGTCAATTTTTCCTATACGACCTACGACTAGAAAATTGAATTTATCAATATCTATCTCCTAAAAATTGTATGGTTCCTGCAAAATTTTGTCCCGTTTTCACTAACCTTTGAGGAGGAGGAGGAAACGTCGCAAAAGAAGCTATCGCTCACGGCCAAAAAGCTCGGTGCAGCCATCATCGGGGAGCCTGTCTGCCGTGCTAAGGAAGAACGCCGTATGAGTATTCAAGCGTTGCCAATTTTCCGCGAATAAAACATGTTTTTTCGAAGAAAGTTATGCATATTTCTCCTTGAAATTTTCAGATTTTTTAGACAAAATTACGAACAACATCCTCGTAAAAATTGGAGAAAAAATGTTCACTAATTTTCCTGAAAACTCGTAATGTCGAAGGAAATTTGGCAACGCCTAAAGGTTCATACGGCGTTCTTCCTAAGCACGGCAGTTATGTCGTGCCGACGGTTGTCGTGCAGCTGTCCGGTAGTCAATCCACGAACGATGCCGTTTCATGGGCCTTTAAATTAGCGAAAACGCTCGCCGCCGAACGATAAAATCACCAATAAAGATGAACCCTCGCTCACGACCCTTGGCTTCGCTTCCCGACGAGCGAAAATCCCCCAATTCCGAGGGAAATTCTACGTAGATAATTGGTTTTTCCTCGTCGCTGGGGGCTCTTAGATGGATGGGAATAGTACCGTGCTAAGTAAGAACGCCGCATGAACCATCAAGCGTTGCCAGGGGGCATGAAACGTAAGAAGGAAATGAGCGATTGGAAGTTCCAGTGAAATATTTCATGAAATCTCACGAGGCTGGGAAATATTTCATATTTTTCAGGGGCTAGAGTATGCGACCCGCACTCAAACTCACAAAAATAGAAGGAATTCACTATTTTTACATTTCTCGAAACATGAAAAGGAACTTTAATTTTTTCAAGATTTTTCATAAATTTCTGAAATTTCATGAAATATTTCAAGTGAAATTTCAAGATTTTATTTTTCATGAAATTTTGCCACCTTGAGCCAAATTTCCTTTTTTTGCCGTGCTGAGAAAAAAACGTCATGTGAGCCTTCAGGCTTTGCCGAATTTCCCCTGGCAAATCACTAATTTTCAGGATTTGTAAATATTTCTCTTCCGATTTTCCGGCGGGTTTTCTTCAAAATTTGATCTAAAAAGTCTGAAAATTTTAAGGGAAAATATTCATAACTTTCTTCAAAAATTGATTACTTTAATTTTGACACTTACGTAATTTGGAAAATATTCGGCTCAATTCATGGTAGGCCTAAAACCGGTCATTACCGGTACTCCCCCCCTCCACCCTTCCTGGCGGGTAATTGCATTGACTTTTCTTCGAACCACTCGCGAAATTAAGAAAAAAGAAGGAAAAACGGACTTAAATGAACTATTAACATGATTGCAAACTTGCTGGAATCACCACTGATGAGGGAGGGAGAGGATTAGGGGATAGTGCTTATGTTGATTTGGCTATTGGATATTTTCATGGCATGCGTGATCCTATTTCCGTGGCTTCACCGCGAGGAGAGCTATCGGTAAACTATATCGTCACCTGCCACTCCCGCTCGCCAGACGTCACTTTCCGCCAGCTTATTACCATTTCAATAAGTCTGAAGGCTACATACAGGGTGTTCCAGAATGGCTATTTCTTGCTTAGCCGCTTCACTGAAAAAAAATTCTCGGCGTTTTTACCAAGGTCCGTTGGTACCTTTACCATCTCACTTTTTTTTATCAATTATTGGTAATTTTACCAAGACAGCCTGGTAAGCTTACCTAAAAACCGGTATTTTTACTGTTTTTTCAGGTAAGAATACAACTTTTATTGGTAATCGATTCCCGGTAACTTTGCCTTTTCATCTCGGTAATTCTACCACAATCGATAAAAAATATTGGCGTTTTTTCCAAGGTCCAGTAAAATTACCGAGAAAGTTCAATTATTTTACCGATATTTCTCAGTAAAATTACCAATTTCATAAATGGTAATTTTACCAAGAAATAACTGGGATCAAATAGAACCCTGAATTCTTGGTAATTTTACCCTTTTCTTAGTAAATACACCGAGATTTTTTTTCAGTGAAAAAGGCTGGAAGCCCTGAAGCACGTAGCTTGGGTGAGTATGGAAGGATCTGTGATTCCGAAAGGCCGTTAAGAGCAGCCAACCAATGATTTCAAAATACTCACTTATATTAAGAGTCAATATTTTTACAGCTTTTTGAGAGTTGCGTCTAAACAACTTACACGTTGTTTTAGCAACAATTGCTATTGGAATCATTCTACATATACTACGCGCTTACATTTTTTCCTAAAAAAAAGCTCCACCTTTTTCAGAAACCAGTTCCGACGTAATAACGAAGATAACCGTCACATTTTCGAAATCTATTTTCCTTCAAAATTCGTCGAATTTCTTTTAGATGAAATCGTTAGAACGGCAAAATTCGTTTCATGTTTAGGAAGACGAGACATATGAGAAAGCCGTAAGCGCACAAAACATGACGTGGTTTTAGGCAAGACAGCAGTAACCAGCATTCTTCCTCCAGAGAGCCAATAGAAACAGTGCTTTCGAGTAAAATGCTGCCTTTTTCTGCCAATTTCTGACCCGCAATTGTGCTTGTTGTGCGTCAAAAACGCAACCACGATCACATGCAGAACATAGCACTTTACGGCTGTCTTGCTTAACACTAGCCATACATGAAAATTAATAATACTCTTTTTATTTAATGGACCACTAGACAAGGTACAAATTTAAGCAATCTGATACATGTTTCTTAACCAGGATTTCACGTAGAACACGATTTGCGCATCGAATATTACTGAAACCGACTCCTAAGGAAGATATTAACGTTTCTATTTCACATTGGTTACGAGGAATTTGAACTGCCCGCTGACAAGAAACTCAAAGCTCTACGTGAGTCAAATCGCGCACTACAACGGTTTCAGCAATCTTCTCAATCGAGCAATGTTCATTTCCCACCATGTGTTGTTCAAACTATAAGCAATTTGCTATAGCTGAGGCAAAGCGTTAAAATCAAGGTTGCCAGATTTTCATATCGCAGAGACCGTCATTATAACGTTTAGAGCGCGATGTGATTCACGTAGAGCATTGAATTTTCATGAGCGGGTGGTTTGAATTCACGCATCAAGAATCGTTTAATATTTTCGTAAGGAGTTGATATCGGTAATTTTTGTCGTGCGCATTGTGTTTTTCGTAAAATTTTTGTTAAAGAACAAGTATCAGAATGCTGAAATTCGTACCTGGTCTAGCGGTCCATTGGAATAAAATTTGTCAATTATGATCATCAAAACAATTTCTAAGAGTCGTTCGGATGACTGATGACAATTTAACAAAGAACGGAAGCTACTTCCATTAAAATCTTCCGCTCCAAAGCTATCACGCCTTTTTTCTCCAAAATTCAGTTTTGGACTTACGGTTCTCTCCACTATCACGACAGAGTTTGACCTCCGAACATCGTCGTCACTTTTTCTTTAATACTGCAAAAGCCACATCGCACCTGCCAATGAGGGTGATCAGGGGTGAGCCAAAGGCGGTTGAGGGACGGCGGGTTGACGGTTGGCATGCGTCGAGACGCCCCAGCCGCCAACCACGGCGCCGCGACGCCCCTAAAGCTTCAGTGTCGACGCGACTTCGCGCAAAGCTCAGCGTGGGATCTCTGTCTCTCGTTCCTTTCTCGCGACACGTGAATTCTCTCGTGGCTCTCAAAATTCTCTCGAAAATTAGAGTGAATCCGCACAAATTTCAAGTAAATTTGGAAATTATTGACGGTGTGAAGTTCAAAAAATTGGCCACTGTTTTAGCGGAAGGAAGAAAAAATAACTCGATTATTGCTTCGCTCGAAGATTTCAAGTAAATTTGGACTATTTTCACGCAGATTTGGAAAATTACCGACGTGTGGATCTCAAAGCAATATTTTCGTTGTGTTACAAAAGACCTTCGGTGCTGCTGACCAATTCCTAAATTTCTTTTCGAAGATTCTTCGCTGCGGATTTTAAGAAACACACATTTTCGAATTTTTTTGATTTTTTGGTGAGGAAAATACTGACGATATAATTTTTCAAGAGAATTCTCGGAAAATTGTTACTGATAAGTGGATTTAAAGTTTTCGCAACTCATTCTTGAAGTTTCTTCAGATCGTTCAAAACACCGTCCAGTTGGCAATTTTTCAAATTTTTTACAGCGATCACTGAAAACTGAAGAAAAAAATTTTGGCCAAAATTATTTTTAACGCAAACTGAGAATTACATCTGAATGGACGTGACAGCTTAAGTATATAGTCATTTCAGCCGTGAACTTTTTTCATTAGTGAGTTGCTTGGGGTCCCCTCGGGTATTTTGGATCAGGTGATACCGCGTGGTTTTTGAAAATTGCATCTCAGTTAAAAAGATCTGACATTCGTTTTTTTCGTGGAAATGCCGGCAAGAATTTTTGACTTTTGACCTTTTTGGTGCGAGATAAATCATTTGTGAATTTTTGTCAAGAAATTTCTGACAACACCACGTAGCCAATTTAACTTTTTGGCAAATAATTTAAGTCTCAAAAAATTTTCAACTTTACTACGCTCTATTCGAAGAAAGCTGTTTTGTTCGTGGAAATTCTGCACACCCGAAAAATTTCTCTCCGGCTGCGGCAATTGTGACTTTGTGAATTCATTTTTTCTGTTATTGTAGCTGCCCGGATTTGTCTAATTACACGTGATTTGGTTGTCTAATTTGTGGTTTTACGATTTCATTTACGACATAAAATTACCTAGCGGCTGCCAAAATCGCCAAAAAAAGTTTATGAACCCTCCGTAGGTGCATACGTCCGTTTTCTATTTGGAAATCATTATTGAAGTGAATTTTTTAAAATATTAAAAAAACGTGACCTAGAGTGCAATTATTGGTTGAGTTGAATCATCATAGCGTGATCCGAAGAGCCCATACTTGTGAAAGGTAAGATTTCAATTCACTATTTCATTGAGATTTCTACTTCGAATTTTTCTGCAAGGGGTGCAAAATTAAAAGTTCCTTGTTAATTTTTCACCGAGTTTCAAATTACATCATGATTAACAATTGACGGCAATGGGAGAGTACATACCTAATTTTTCCATTATTTTTTCTTTCTTTCATTTTTCATCTTTGAGAAAATAATCATCTATATACTACTAAAACTTGCCGTGCAACTGACGATTTACTTACGTAATAGATTCATGTATGATGATCAGACTTCCTATTTTACATCATAACAACATGTAAGTGCATAAATACACAACGTTGGAGAAAAAGAGAAAAGAGGAGAAAACAGTTTGTGCTTTGAGAAGCAAAGTCCATACGAGGTAATATTAAATTACGGCCTTGATTAAAATTAGTAACTTATTAACATACAAATGACGACAACATCTTGGAGATTCTTACGTACTAAAAATGATTAGATAAAACAATTCCTTCCTTACAGTCGTAGCAAGTTGGAGAAGATTCACCACTTAAATCGAACATATAAAAGGCCGACGATCGAATAGGTAGCGATTTTAACGCTTAAGTGTATAAATAAGTATCAAACGATTTTGAAGGCACATCATATGCACCGTTTTAATATTTCATTCTTCGTAAGTGATACATTTGATCTGAATTAAATCACCAATCCGAAATGGTAATTTTGCTCGGTTAAGAGCTGAATGTCTTTCGGCAATAAATGTACAAACCTTGGTACGGAATCTACAATATCGCCATGAAATCATAACAGTAGGATCATTATTTAGACGGGCCGAACTACAGGACAGCCTTACCTCATAATTTCCTTATTTACTCGCAGCTTTTTAAATTTACAACAAAAAACAGAACTAGATAAAAATCTTCTTTCAAAAAATTTCTGAAAATGTTGAGAAAAAACACTCACCAATTTTCTCGCAAATTCGTGATGCGTCAAAGAAAGTTTGAGAACTGCTGAAAGCTTATCCGCTTCTTATACGGTGCTATTTTTCCTCAGCATGGCAGTGGGGTTCGTAGGTAAGAATTGGACTACATTTTGCAACTAGGAACTACAATATCTCGCCGCGAAGACACTCATGTGCATAGGGAAACTGATGGTACATACTTCGTTTATAAACTGAGCATGATATTGTAAAAAAAAACGCCTTAAAAACACTCGCAAAAACACGCATGTACGTAGGAAGATTGATGTTACATACCTACGTCTTCCTTAAAGTGAGCTTAATATTGTGGTTATTAATATCCAAATTGCAAAAGGCAGTCCAACTTATTCTATGAGTAAGGTTCAATGATGCGCCAGGTGTCACGTTGTAAACAAGCTCTAGCGAGTAAAATTCTGGATAATATTCTTCTCCCACTCCAATTAAACGTCCTGTTAATTGAAACCGTATTACCTTACTGCCGTGCTAAGGAAAAACGCCGTATGAACATTCGAGAGTTGCCAAATTCCTTTCGATAAAATGTTTATTTGTGAGAAAAATTATGAATATTTTTCTTTGAAATTTTCAAACACCTTGGATCAAAATACGAACAGAATAATCGGAGAAATCGGCCGCAAAATACTCAAAAATTTCCTGAAAATTAGTGATTTGCCAGAGGAAATTTGGCAACGCCTGAAGGCTCATACGGCGTTTATCCTTAGCACGGCGGCTTACGCCTCGGGGTAATTTGTACAATTTTCGAGCAGCCACTTTAACACGGACAGAAACGAACTAATTATTCTTCTCATGACGAGGAGCATATGGTTTCTGGGCTTTATGAAAAGTGCTATATTTTAAACGAAGCATCTGTTAAATATCTAAATACCGAGTTTTGGCTCGAACACAAACGCGATGCGCGTAATTATTCAACGGGCAATTAAAGAGTCATCTGCTTCGCCAGTGACAGATGATATCGGAGCGGAACGTTTACGAGAGATTGTGCAAGTTCATTTTCTTTCATATATTCTTCACCGAAGTGGAAAAAATCAGTTGATGGAATAACTTGATTAAAACGCACCCGCAGATACCTTCCCGATCAGGGTGGCAAAATTTCATGAAAAATTAAATCTTGAAATTTCACATGAAATATTTCATGAAATTTCAGAAATTTATGAAAGATCTTGAAAAATACAAGTTCCTTTTCACGTTTCGCGAAATGTAAAAATTGTGATTTTCTTCTATTTTTGGGTGTTTGAGTGCGGGTTGCATAATCTAGCCCCTGAAAAATATGAAATATTTCACAGCCTCTTGAAATTTCATGAAATATTTCACTGAAATTTCCAATCTTTCATTTAAATCTTACGTTTCATGCCACCCTGTTTCTGTTTGGTTGTAACTGGCGTTTGCACCGACTACATAGAGTGGTTGTAACTAGTGTTGCTCCAACAACACAGAGAGAAATTTCAACATACAAAAATTTGATTAATACAGGAAGTAAAACATAAAATAACTCTTGCCCTCGGTTGGTGATTTCAAGAGAAAATACCAGCTAGTTTTTCGGAGAACTTTGATAAAGGAGGAGTGATAAATAGCAACGTCGTAAGCGGAGGAATGCTTTTGCCCATTCTCTCCATTGTTTTCTGCGCTAAATTCACACTGAAAAAAAAGATTGGTAGAATTTACCATTCCTTCACGCTGTACTTCACACAACGTTGATTTAAAGTCAATTCTGCCAGAAGAAAGGTAAACTTTACTACATACTGGTACAGGTAACCATTCCTCTGGCAGAATCGACTTGAAGAGTGGTATAATTTACCGGCTGCAACCACTACACCGCAGGAAGCCGACTGTAAAGATCGGACGAGACATTAATTTGACCAAATGCCTCATTTCACTATTGACCTTCGACAAAAGCATTGGTTTGCATTTTGGTGAAGCTATACTGCCGTGCTAAGGAAAAACGCCGTATGAATATTCGAGAGTTGCCAAATTTCTGTAGATAAAACATGTATTTTTGCGGAAAGTTATAAATATCCCTCCCTAAAATTTTCAGATATTTTAGATAAAATTGCGAACAAAATTATCTGAAAAATCTGAGGGAAAATGTTCGACATTTTCCAAGGAAAGTCGGTTTTATTGAAGTAAATTTGGCAACATCTAAAGGCTCATACGGCGTTTTTCCTTAGCACGGCAGTATAACAAACACCCGCCCGAACTCAACGACGAGGATGCCACCTTAGCGGCCCATTCTCTCGCCCAACTAAATGTGTATGCGAGCGTGCGCGGGAATTCCGGCCGCGGGATGGATGGCCATATTTTCAATCGCAACTGCAACAATTAACGATAATTAATTCCTGTGCCGAGTGGTGCAATGCTCTCGAATTTTTCACCGCTCGCTTCACGGTCCATCGGGCCATTCGTCACGGCAATGGCCGTGATCATGATAATGATAATGCTTGGGCGTAGTCAGTTTCGGGTGGAGGCTCCGTTGCCACGTCGCATCGTTCGTAATACACCCCGTATCCAAGATTTGAAGGGTAGAAATTCGAATCTTCGAATCTCGGAGTTGAAGTTGAGCATACCGTGTTCCTTGCTGTGAAGAAACTCACATGATTAATTTGAACAATTTTTTACTCAGATAATGGGCCACTAGACAGAATCTGAACTATAAATGAACGTCTGGAGTATAAGTCATTGTACTTTCAAAAAGGAAGAAGAAGAAGAGGAAAAAATTAACGCACAAAATTTTGACACCTGCAAATTCTCTATTTCAGGGATTTCATCTAAAAGAGTTAAGACGAATTTTGAAGGAAACTCGATTCCGAAAATTTGACACTTACTGCTCTCGTCGCCATCACGGCAGAGCAGGTGGTCGTGATAGCTCTATTTTGGGTTTCGGCGAACCGTGGTTCCTTCTTCTGGAGACGGTCCAGTGTGTCTGGTTTTTTTTTTTTTTTTTTTTTTTCTCCTTTCAGGTTCTTGATAAAATCCTGATTTTTCCTGAATTTTGACTGCTAAATCCTGATTTTATAATGTTTCCAAATCCTGATCAAATCCTAATTTTTTGTGGAGGAAAATTAGGCAAATGTAACTTCACAAAAATAGCTCTATAAAAAAATCCGATCGGACGGTTGACTTTACTCAAATCCTGATTTTACGACCGATTTTTCCTCAAATTCTAATGCAATCGGGATTAAATCCTAAATCCTGAATCCTGATTGACCTCAAATTCTGATAGAATCGGGAAAGTCCTGATGTTAGCCACCCTGCGGTCACATTTATCGGCAACGCGGTGTTTCGTGACCACGGGTAATCGCCACCGCGGGCTATTTGTTTACTGTCATTGCGAGTTTGCCGACACGGGAACGCACCCACACGACGGCACGAGGGGGCGCCCACAGACGCGGTACTCACTGACACACTGACAGAGTGACGGACAGTCGCCGGCGTACATCCCCGGCTAACGTATGCACGGAACCCGGGAGCCATCGCACGCACCTCTCAGAGGAACCGCGCACGGCCACCGTCGAATTCTTCAAAGGGTCTTTTAGCCTTTTAGCCGGGTTCAGTGCCTCGGTTGCAACGTGAAACATCCAAACTTTACCTTCAAATATCTCTGATAGTCGCAAAAAGTCGCAAGATCTTTTTGGTAGAATTGAAGTTGGATATCTGAGGATTAAGAAAATGTCAACCATCCAGAGCATTTTGCGTTTCAATCCTCATTTGAAATTGACGTCTTTTTCCCACGTATTTCTTATGGACCGGTGATTCTGTACCCATACGCCGCGGCCGCCCACTCTATACACAAATTTGAAGTAGTTTTGAGCAAAAAATTTGGTAATGAACCATCACTGTGAGTCAGTAATATCTACGAGATGACGAACTCCAAAAAATATATTCAGATGTCTAGTTGTGAATTTTGAATTTTAGTCCACAGAGGGCCGCACTGTGCGTCGCAGGCAAAAAGCCAAATCAGACATTTTGTCAATGTCTGGGCAAAAAGTTGATTATTCTTACTTAGATAAAAATTCTGTCTCTTTTGCT